GAGGAGGAGGAGGAGCAGGAGCAGGAGCAGGAGCAGAAACAGGAGCAGGAGCAGGAGGAGGAGGAGGAGCAGGAGCAGGAGCAGGAGCAGGAGCAGGAGCAGGAGCAGGAGCAGGAGGAGGAGGAGGAGGAGGAGGAGGAGGAGGAGGAGGAGGAGGAGGAGGAGGAGGAGGAGGAGGAGGAGGAGGAGGCGGATTTGGCATACGTTCTCTTGACATCGGGGGCCCTCCCCGTCGCCACGGCCAGGCCGCTTGAAGAACTGACCAGGCTGGTGCCCGGCATGGGCCGGCAGGCCGATCTCGCCCTGCTTCTGGCCAAGACGCAGGGAGCCATTGCCTCGGAGCCGCGCGTTGAGCAGGGCGGAGTTCGCAGCCCTCCAGCCGGCAAGCTTTCAGTGCCGCCTCGGATCCACAGCACAAGCCCGTCCAAGAACCTCCCGCCCCGATCTCTTAGGGCGGAGTGCAGAACTCACCACCTCTGGCCCGAGCCCCCGTGCGCAGCCTCGGCCCGAGGCGCATGGAGCCGAGCGCGAAGGCAGAGCGGGGTCAGCCGCGAGGCGGGCGACAGCGACAGCCACCACTGGTGGCACCTGGAGCTCCGAGCCCGAGCGACAGCGACTCCACCTGGAGCCCCCGGACGGCCCAGACGGCGACCGACGTCCTGGCCTCGACGTCGAGCCACGGTGACTCAGAGACGGGTAGCCCTCCAGAAGCTCCTGCGAGGGAAAATGACCTGCTGCGAGAGAGAGAGGAGCTGTCGCGAAGGCTGTTGGACGCGGCGCACAGAGGGGACATGGGCTGTCTCATGGAGCTCATCGACGCTCACGGACCAGAGCTTATTTTCACAAAGAGCGGCTCCGCACGGACCGCTCATATCGACGCTCGCGGGCCGGCGTTCCTCACGTTGCACGCCATAGCCACGGGGAGTGGCCACACAGAGGCGGCACAGTATCTGAGCGAGGTTGCCACAAAGTCGCTGGTATATAGGCTGCTGACGCTCATCAAATGCTACCATCCAGCCCTGGGCGATGCGAGGGCGCTGTTGCTTGATGAGGTGGCGCGCCACGTGGAGGCTGGGGCTCACCTGGGCTTCGCGTCGGGGTGCGCGGGCCTGATGCCCCTGCATGCGGTCTGCCGCCTGCAACCCGAGCCAGCCGACGGCGCGGACGAGGAGCTGGAGCTGCAAGCAGAGTGTGCGGCGCACGCCGTGGAGGTGCTCGCGCAGGAAGCGCCTCTGGCGCTCCTGTGCGCCTGCAGGGCGACGGGGGCCCTGCCGCTGGAGATCGCGGCGGGCAACAGGGAGCTCGGGCCCGCTCTCGTACCCAGGCTGGCCGCTGCGCTTGGGGCTGTGCTGCTGAGGCACCCGGACCTCGCCAGGTCGGAGGCCGTCAACCGAGCTGCCGAGAAGGCGGCGTGGGTGATGGGCGACTGCGGTGCGGCTGGCAGGCTGCGCTCGCTGGTGCGGGCAGCACGGGCAGGCGCGGGCGAGCAAGAGGGCGCTGCCGCGCCCCCTTCGCCGGCGGCCGCCTTCGAGTCTTGGGCGGCCCGCTGCAGGCGCCTCGACGCCCTGGAACCGCTGCTCTCCAGGGTCCATGTCCACGACCAGCACCCAGAGGCCGCGGAGTCTGCCGCGAAGGCGGCCGAGCTGGAGTCCCTGCTGAGGCACCAGCAGAGTGCGCACGACCGCAAGGTGGCGGAGCTCACGGAGGCGCTCAACAAGGCACAACGCTTGGCAGAGCGCGCAGCGCGCGGTGCCGCGGGCAGCGGCCGCGCTGAGCTCTTGCTGCCAGGCGGGGCAGCGGCCACTCGCAGCGCCACTGCGTCCACCACCAGGAGCCTCTCGGCCTCGGCTGTCACGGGCGCTGTGCCGGAAGGGGACGAGGGCGACGTCATCGCCCGCATACGGCGCCAGCGTGGCCTCGACCTGGACCTCTGTGGCGCTGGCCTCCCTCCCGCCGTCGCGGAGAGTGCGGCGGCCATGCAGCGCAGCTTGGGTGCCGCGGTGGAGCGGCTGGCCCGCGACCTGTACACCTCGCGCGGCCACCTGGTCTTCGAGCTGCTGCAGAACGCAGACGACAACTCGTACGCGGAGGGCGCCTCTGCATACCTGCAGCTCCAGTTGGGTAGGGGCCCCCAGTCCATGTATTTTGCGTCGGTCAACAACGAGGTGGGAATGATGCCCCAGGACGTGGAGGCGCTGTGCGACGTGAACAGGTCCTCCAAGCACGAGGGGCAGATCGGGCGCAAGGGCGTCGGGTGGAAGTCGGTCTTCGCCGTGAGCGCGCGCCCCACGGTGCTCTCGCGGCGCTTCCTCTTCTGCTTCGACGTCGAGCGCCTCGGCAGGCTGGGCTACGTCACCCCGAGGGCCCTCTCCGCGCCGGACGTGGCCGCCATCCCTGCAGAGCTCCGCGCGGCCCACTCGGGCCCGCCAGGGGCCACCGTGGTGTTCCTGCCGCTGGCCGCGGGGGCCGCGGAGGCCGCGGAGGCCGCCGAGGCCATCCGCGGCTGCGCCGGGGCGCTGCTGGACGCCCCGGCCTGGCTGCTCTTTCTGCGCCGGCTGCGGCACCTCGAGTGGGAGGACCGCTCCGTGTCGCCTCCGGTGCCTGCCAGCCGGAAGCGCAGCCCCGTCTCCGAGATCGGCATCGCCTCGATGATGTCGACCAGACGTAGGGAGTGGCCTTTCGCTGGTGTGACCTGTGCTGCGCGGGCCCAGCAGGGTCCCCCGATCGCCGAGCGCGATGCGATAGTAGCGTCCTGCGCGCTCGTGTTTTGGTCCCCCGTGGCCCGCCCCAAAAGCCGCGCAGCAAAGGTCACTCTTACGCAGGGTCCCTCTTGCGTGTAGCCGATCATTTCGGTGTCGACCTTTCCAGCTTCTGAGCGCACATCCCCAATCCTAAGAGTGCCCTCGCCTTGGGCCTGTCGATCTTAGGGGATCGGGATGAGCTCGAGGGTGGTCAGGTGCGGATCGTGGTGGAGCGGACCGCCGGCGACGTCGTCACGGTGCGCCGCGGTGGCGGCGCGCCCGAGGAGACCCGCTACCTGGTCCACAGGAGGCGGGTCAGGGCCCCGCCCGAGCTCCGTGGTCCTGGCCGAGGATCGGTGGAGGACGAGGAGGTGGTCGTCGCGTTCCGTGGCGGGGGCGCACCCTCTTCCAGCGTGCCCGCGCCGGACTGGGCGGCCGACGCCGGCGACGGGCCCGGGGACGATGAGGGCCCTGTGCCTCCGGTGTTCTGCTTCCTGCCGGTGCGACCCGTGGGCTTCCGCTTCCTGCTCCACGCCCCCTGGACTCTGACGTCGAACCGGGAAGACTGGCACGTGGAAGATCCGCGCAACCTTTGGTTGCGCGAAGAGGCGGCTATTGCTCTGGCGGAGGCGCTCCGGCGCTTCGGTCCGGCGCTCGCGGGGGGTCTCGCGGTGCTGGACGCGCGGCGGGTCGTGGAGCCGTTCTGGCAGCGCCTGCTGGAGGATGCAGCCAAGCAGCTGGGGGACGCGGCCATCGTGCCGTGCGAGGATGCTGCAGGGACAGTGCTTGCCAGGCCGTCGGAAGTGCTCGCGCCGACCGCAGCGCTGGCGTGTTGCCCGGGCGCCCTGCTCTTCCTGCGTGCGGTGCCAGCTGCGCAGTGGCTGCGGCAGACTGGCAAGCGCTTGGCGCTGCTCGGCGGCCTGGCGGGCGGTGCGGTCGAGAGCGCGAGGCGTGCGCTGGCGCTGGGCGCAGAGGTCCTGAGCCTGGAGAGGCTGCGGCAGCTACTGGAGGCGCCAGATCTCAGCTGGAAAGTAGGGCAGCCACATCTGCTGAGCTCGCTGTACGAGCTGCTGGCCTGCTTCCTCGCTCCAGGCGGTGGCGACTCGGTGGCGGGCGGCTCTGCGTGCCCGCGCCTCGTAACGACGGTGGCGGAGCTGCAGCAGCTACGCATGCTGCCCCTGGCGTCTTTCCAGCTCGGAGAGGCCTTGTCGACGCCGGCCGGTCATTCTGGGGGATGGGCGCGGCTAGCTGACGGGGACGTGTTCTTGCCCGCTGCGGCTGACGCTTGGTGCCCTGGTTTGGAGGCTGCCACTTGTGCGCTGCTTGTGGGCCACAGCGGTGTGCGAGTGCTGTGCTGGAAGGCTTGGCGGTCACTTCCAGCTGCTGGGCAGCGCTTCCTGCAGAGACTCGGGCTCAGGGAGGCATCGCTGCACGCCGTCGCCGCCGCCGTGGCGCGCGCCCACGCGCTGTGCTCGTCGGAATCCGTGCAGGTCCCCTCTGTGCGCGAGGCGTTCGCCGTGGGCGCCGCCTCAGAGCTCGAGGCCTCCCACGTGGTGCTGGCGGGCCTGGAGGCCATCGGCGCTGCACACGCCCAGGCCTTTGCCGCCCTCGTCGGGGGAGGCGCTCCGGGCGGTGGCCACTGCGACCCGGCGGCCGAGAGCGGCCCCCGCGGCTGCGCCGGCGTGGCGGCTCGGCCGGACCGCGGGGGGCTGCGCCTGGATGCGAGCGCCCTCGGCCAGCTGCTGTGGCTGCCGTGCACGGGGGGAGGCCGCGCCGGGCCGTCGCCAGACGCGCTGCCCGGGCCTCCGTCGTGCCCCGGCGAGCCCGGCGCGGCCGCGGCGCCGCGCCCCGTCGTGCTCCGCCGGCCCTCGGACACGCGCCTCTCCTCGCTGCTGGGCGTGCCCGCCGAGGAGGCGGCGCAGGAGCACATCCACGCCGCCGCCCTTCCGGCCATCGGGGGAGGGCCAGCTGAGAGACACGGGTCGCCCTGTCGGCCCTCAGGGGGGGGGCCCCTCGTCGCCCCGGCCGGACGCAGCTCGGAAAGCGGGCGCATCTGGGCCCCCAGAGGGGCCCAGGGACCGATTTTGAGGAGATTTGGGCCAGGTGGAAAAACCACCCCGACCCCGACAATTCGCGTTTACTAAACAACCCTGGGCGTTTACTAAACAGCCCTGCCCCTTTCGATTCCTTCCATGGGTGCGTTTACTAAACGGCTTCGCTTGTCGGGGTGCTTATTGTGGGGGGGGATTTTCTGCTCTCTAGGTAGAGCTGCCGTGGTCCCACCGCCGTTGCCTCAACTGGCCCTCCTCCGAGGCCCGCTGTTGTGGAGCATCCTCAGCTGCGCGGCGCCTGTCGCTTCGGTGGGAGGCTTTCCTGGCCGAGCTGGGCTGCCGGCTGCCCCTTGCACGGAGCATCGAGCACGAGGCCTTGGGCGCCCAGCTGGTCAGCGAGGCGTTCTGGGAGGAGCTCGCTGCCTCCGCGAGCCTGCGCAAGCACGCCGCCCGCGTGTTCCGCGAGCTTGGCCAATACCTCAGCGGCCTGGAGATCCCCGAGGCCTTCTTCGGTGCCCGCCCTGGCCCCCGGCGGCTCTCGCGCTGCTTCCTGCGGTCAGCCTTCGAGCCGCTGGCGGGCGCTGGCGCGCTGCCGTACGTGGACGCGCCAGGGCCGTGCGAGCCGCTGCTGGAGCTGCTGCGGGTGCCGGTGCGAGCCGACGCTGATCTCAGGAGGCTTGCGCCATCCCGCCCAAGGAGCCCCGGAGAGGGTCGGCGAGGGGGGGCGGTCCTCGAACGCACCGCGCATCTCGGAGGCCCTCCGCCTTCAAGAAGCCTGCCCAGAAGCCCCTGCCTTCTCAAGAGGCCGTCCCCTGATGCCCCGCCCACTCCTGCACGCCGCCAAGGGGACATTCGTGACGATGGTTCCAACTTACTTTAGCCTTGATCACAAGACAGAATTTCGAGCACCAAAACGAACCGAGGCTCGAGGGTTTTCACGTGTCGGGCCCTGGGAGACACTCGTCCGACACTGTTTCGACACTGTTTCGACACTCTTTCGACACTTTTCCAGGTGCTCGAAATTATTTCAGGGATGTGGTCCTTCAGTAAGATATGAGCACCATAACCCTGGGAGGGCAGAGTGGAGGAGGAGGAGGTGGAGGAGGAGGAGGAGGAGGAGGAGGTGGAGGTGGAGGTGGAGGTGGAGGAGGAGGAGGAGGAGGAGGAGGAGGAGGAGGAGGTGGAGGAGGAGGAGGAGGAGGAGGAGGAGGAGGAGGAGGAGGAGGGGATGATGATGATGATGATGATGATGATGATGATGATGATGATGATGATGATGATGATGATGATGATGATGATGATGATGATGATGATGATGAGGATGACGAGGATGATGATGATGATGATGATGATGATGATGATGATGATGATGATGATGATGATGATGATGATGATGATGATGATGATGATGATGATGATGATGATGATGATGATGATGATGATGATGATGATGAGGATGACGAGGAGGAGGAGGAGGAGGAGGAGGAGGAGGAGGAGGAGGAGGAGGAGGAGGAGGAGGAGGATGACGAGGACGAGGAGGAGGAGGAGGAGGAGGAGGAGGAGGAGGAGGAGGAGGAGGAGGAGGAGGAGGTGGAAGAGAGGGGAGGCAGGAAATGGATGGAGCTGTGGAGGCGGGAGCACGGTGGTCTGGGGGCGTGCACTCTCTACGTCGCAGCGCGGCAGAGGCAGTCCTCACGTGTGCTCAGGCGGTCCGGGCAACGGATAGCGCAAGTGAATCGGCGGCAGGAGGAGGGGAAGGCAGACGCAATCGGCCGCGGGGGAGGAGGGAGGGAGGGAGGGGAGGACACTCGCGTGGCCTCGTAGCCTCTTCGGCCCATCCGTAGCCAGGCCGCAGCGCAAAAGACTTTAGATTGGACGTCCACGGGGCTTGTATCCTTACCGCGCATCCTCATCGTAACGCGATGGCCGCAACGCAGAACAGAAAAACACTTCCGCTTAGAGGTGGGAGTGGCCCCAATTCTCAGCTCGGGTTTAGGGGGGGACGTCCTCAAGAGTTGTGCTCAGGAGAGGGCCTCAACGCTTTTGTCACAGATCACCTGACCAAGGGGCGCCCATCTTGAGTTTCGACAGGTAAATAAATTTCTTACGCTGCACTTGTCCCCATCATCCTATCCAGAAGCGGTCACCAGGCGAGTTGTCTTGATTAGGGGGGGTGCAGGAATATATACTGAAACAAAAAAGGGGGGCAACCGTCAAGTCGAAGCCACCATGAGCTAGAGCAGTCAGTCCCACGGGGTTAACCATGAAGATCCCAGTGGATCTTTCGATCCGGGAACCCTTTGGAGGTTTCTTGGGGTCATTTTGGAAGTCTCCTGTGACCCTCTTCTGGCCTCGGGGCCAACTTGGATGACGTCGATTAAAGGGTGTGGCGGGGGGGACTAAACTTTTGCTGTCCCTTCTGGATCCTGAGATATTGCTTCTTGAGGCCCCCAATTCGGACGGTCTCGGGGCGATTTTGGAGACCTTTGGGTCCGTCTTGGACTATGCATTGGCCCCTCTTAGGGCTCTCTACGGCTATCTTGGAATCATCTTGCGGCCGCGGAAGTCCATCAGAAGCAAACGGTTGAGAAGGCCAAACTCGCTTTCCAAAGGCTTGGGGGCCTCTCGGGGATATCTTCGGGAGGTTTCGAGGCCATGGAACTGTCTTGGGGTCGCCTTGGGACCTCGTAGAGGAATGCTGGAGGCCAACTTGAGCCAACTTGGACCATCTTGCGCCTTTTTGGTCTGTGTAGAGTCATCTTGGAGCCATTTAGGGCCCACGCGTGCCTTGGTGAGCTCAGGCCTTTTTCTCTCACCGCCCACCTCCCTTCAAATTGGATTTTGGACTCCTGGGGAGGGGGAAGAAGGGAGGGGGACAGCCAATCGAGGGGGAGCCAACCATCACACACGCCTTCTGACCCTCGGCAAGGTTGGGTCGGCGGATTCTTTTTCTGCATCACTTTGGGGCTGCGCGGGAGTCTCCTGGAGGCCTTCCGGAATTTCATCGGAGCTCTCTTGGGCCTAGGTGGGTCCTTGTTCGGCTCTTCTTGGACGCGTGTTGGGCCTCCTTGGGGCCCTCCTGGGCAATGCTGGGTCCATCACAATGTTTCTGATGCCCATCCGGAGGAGAGGAGCACATGCGATAACGACAGAACAAGGAGCAGCCACATGTTCTTCTTTGGCTTTGGCTTCTCGGGGGCTTCTCTGAGAGGCTCCAGGGCTATCGATGAGCTGTCGTGGGGCTAGCAAGGGGCCATCGTTGCGGCCATCCTCGGCAGTCTTTGAACTATGCCATCGAGGGCCACGTTGGATCCATCTTGGTCCAGTTTGGGGGCCTCCATGGTCTGGTGGACAGTTTTGGGGACCTCTCAGGGTCCCAGAGGTACGTCGTGGAGCTCGCCCCCCCCTCCCTCCCCCTAGATCAGGATCACAGATCCCATCGGGTGTTGAACAGCGGGAGGGGGGCACCCGAACACCTCGCAAGCTTTGTCAGCAAAGACGATCTGTCGACATGTGTTCTATGCTACCGATGGCGTTCCAGCGCTTACATACTCTCCATGATCAAGGAGTATGGATGGCAGCACATGAGTATCACTGGCAGCCATCGACAACAATACACTTTTAATTCACTTTTCGGTTATCCCAAGCTCACTCAAGCTACCCGAAACGGAATTCCCATCCGGGTCTGATCTGCCCCCAGCGGGGAAGAATCAGGTCTAAGAAATCCGCCATAGATTCACCGCCAAAACATATCCATCTATCGTCTCGGAGCCATGGCCCGGCATCTCGAGGACCTCTAGCGGAAGGGTGGACGTGGATATCTGCCCTCCCTTGAGGTCGGGAACGTATCCACATCCCCCGCTCCCCAGGTATCCAGGACTGCACTCGAGTGGCCGCGGATGTTCTAGGCCTCCTAGATGGGGTCGGAGTAGATGGGGTCGGAGGACCGCGCCGCATCGCCGATGCATCCGCGATGCAGCTCGATGTGGAGCCCGACTTGCTCCCCGTCGACGTCGCCGATGCACCGCCGACGTCGACGTTGCATCGCAGGGGCATCGCCGATACATCGCTTATGTATCGGCGATGCGGCGCGATCCTCCGACCCCATCTACTCCGACCCCATCTAGGAGGCCTCTGAGGTCGGATGTGAGGCGACACCACCAAACGAGAGCCACCGGCAGCGAGGTTGTCCACTGTGCCCCCGGGATGCCTCGAGCGGGGCGCGCAAAGCAGGGGGGGCTGCACCGCCGACGTCGACGTTGCATCGCAGGGGCATCGCCGATACATCGTCGATACATCGCCGATGTATCGGCGATGCGGCGCGATCCTCCGACCCCATCTACTCCGACCCCATCTGGGAGGCCTCCAGATGTGGATGTTTCTTGAGGAGGAGGAGGAGGAGGAGGAGGAGGAGGAGGAGGAGCAGGAGGAGGAGGAGGAGGAGGAGGAGGAGGAGGAGGAGGATGAGGAGGATGTTTCTTGGCGCTGCACTGGAAGCCAGGCGACCTCCGGCGGGCGGGGGTCGGCGGCTTCTCTGGCCCGGGCCGTCCAGAGCTGGGTCGCTCGCGTGCCGCCGCCCGCGCAGGCGCCCGTGACCCTCCTCCTGGCGTTCTGGGAGGCGTTCCAGAAGCGAAGAAGAGACAACGGCATAAAGATGGTAACCTTTTGGCGCTCCGCGCGGACTTCTGGGATCCGCGCTGGGCCGCCCTGGCGGCGCCTCCGGCGCCGCCCCTGGCGCGCTCCGCGCGCCAGGGAGGGAGGCCCAGCCCAGAGCCAGGAACGCCGCGCAGACCGCCAAAAGTTTATGTTTATGCTGTTTTTTGTTCTTCTGCAGAAGGAGCTGCTCCCGCCCGCAGGCCAGCCGGATCCGAGTGTGCGCTCCGGGACGTGGGCGGTGCGGAGTCGCCTGCTCGACGTCTTGAAGCGCCAGATCCTGATTCCTGGCCACGGCGTGGTTTCACACATGGCCCAGATGCCGAGGCTCGTGTGGGAGGTGGACGGGGCCGAAGAGAAGCTGATCTGCGAGCTCGCGCGCGCGGCAGTGATTGGCGAAATCTACGGCGAGCCGCTGAAGCCCTTGTTTAAGGCTCTGCAGGTCGAGCCTCGCCCCACCCTCCAGCACTGCATCCAAGCGCTCAAGGCGATCGCGTCCCCTGCAGCTGCGGCTGGGGCATCTCCGCGGCCGAATGTGACCCTGAGCTTCCTGAGGTATTTGTATCACAAGGTCTCCGAGATCACTGGTGCGTGGCTCGAGGAGGCCAACGCGAAGACGGAGGCCGAGGAGGCCGACGCGATGGCGTCGGACGCACCGGATGCGGCGGAGGAGGCGGGCCAGCCGCCGCGCAAGCGCCCGCGCATCGTGATGAGCTCGTACAAGCTGGCCTACCTCAGGGAGATCTTCGAGAACCACCGGCTGGTCGTGCTGCCCCAGGGCCGCGGCAGGCCGTGGAAGCTCCTGCGCCCGAGCGAGGCCTTCTGGCAGGTCGACGACAGCCTCGCCGGCCTGCCCTGCAGCGGCTGGGCCCTCGGCAGCTTCTACGGCGAAGCCCCCGCGGCCCGCCGGGGCCGCCGCGGGCGCCGTGGCGAGCTCGCCGCGGCTGCCGCGGGCGCCGGCGGCCTGCACGAGCTCTTCGTGCGGGCTCTGCGCGT